CGAACTCGGGGGCAGCAGACTCGAAAATTCACTAATTAAAGTTACGTTATATGCCAAAGAACATCTTCTTCTTCAAAACATAATGCAATCATTGGTACGTGGTGGACACACAAATCTGATAGAATAGGACAGGTTGATGGTCGAGATGTGCAGAAGGTGTTTCAGCAGGGTGAAAGCAAAAGTAAAGAGACACGCTGCATCTGCCACTTTCTCTCTCCCTCTTCCCCCTAATCCACCTGTGCCCAGCGTCACGACAGGGCGTGCCCAAGCCAATTACACCGACAAGCAAGTACGCAGACTTGTCGTATGTGCTCATCATCATAAAGCACTGACCGACATCTGTCAGTATACCTTTATGCAGAAAGAAGTACTCGGTTAAAAAGAGGAGGACATTGACTCTTGCTGCCTTCATTTGAACTGGCAGACATCTTTTGTGGGTGAAAATTCCCCGTTTAAGTAATATGCTGACTACCGACTTTCGATTACTTCTAAACTCAACTCAGTTAATTGAGAGAAACGATAGCTTACGAGCCTCTGGGAAACCTCTCGTAGAGGGAGATAAACATATTGGGCAGAATGATTTTTTCATGGGACAATAAGGCTAGCAAATACTACAAAGCAGTCAAAGGTCACGGTTTATTGTGCAGTGAAACGGAATGGGCCTGTTTTAACACGTCTGATTGCCATGATTAGAACAAAATCGAAACCGATGTCATACTTTCCTGTTCATTTTTACGGCTCATTATATCTTTGGCATTTTCAACGAGGTATGAAGAGGGAGTTCACTTAATTAAAACAATTATTCTGGACAGACCGTAGCAAAAATTAATGATGAGGCTAAGAACATTAGCAGTGAGAGATGAGGGGCTCACAGCAACGAACCTCACATATGAATCAATTTTGAAGTAAGTAGAATATATTTTTTCAAAAAAGCGCAGAAAATAGCTAGCAAAAAGAAGGCAAAAATAACTTCACGTAGGCCTATTAACTCTTGCTGCTTCGGGTGTTTACTTAAAAATCCATTCGATTATTAATAGATGGAAACAGCAATGACTTTAAACTGAAAAAAAGGTTAATGCTGAGAATTTAGAAGGAAAAGAAGAATGGTATAGAATTTAAGTGGACTAGAGGTTCCTTTCGGCTTCATTGTGAACCAGACCCCTATTCGAGCCTCTGATAGGAGAGTTGCACCGCTAGTTCACATAGGTTTCGTGTTGTTTTGAGGGCATGTGACTATATGTGATTTTAAAGTTCCAGTAAGAACGCAGAACACCGATATTCTGTCACTGTGAGGGCTTTTGCGTCCCCCAGATGCTCTCTGTTATATGCTCTCCGCTTTTGACATTTTGGCTTTCTACGTTCCTTAGGCAGGACTCTGCTACCTGAAGTAAAAGTTTTGAGACACACCTTTTTAGGCTGCTATCGAACGTTGGTCAGTGAGGAACAGCATCACAGAGGCGATCAAGAAGGAAGCTATCGGCCTGATGACCTAGGACTGATTAATTTTTTTGTTGAAAAAAGTTTGTGTGCATCTACTTGACATTGGATCTCTAGGGAAACGCATTGACATGTGGAAGTGCTTTGAAGGTAACCGACGGTCCTATATCTTATAAATTGTGCTCTTAAGTGCCTACATGTTTAAACAATGCCCTGAACGAGTCTGTGGTTTGAAAGTTACAGAGATGTACTTATAAGCATTTCAAAGCAAACTTCGATGAGATGGGGTTGGCTACAGAAATAAGTAGTCATATTCTAAAAGTTGGCCACATTTTTTTAAGCGGGGGGCAATCATTCAGTTTTTATTCTACTATTTATAAGCATTTGGCATTTAAGTACAGTACGCGCTAGAATTCGTGCAACATGCCGACATATGCGAAAGATTAACACACTTTCGCTAATCGGCATGGACTCGGGTTATGATAGTGATTATAGTGTAGTCTATTCTGAAGTTATTTCAGTTATGATAGGATGGGGGCTTCTTAACGAACTTCGTTGTGACCACTAACAAAACGATTGTACCGTAAAAAGTAACTACTTGAATCGGATGAAAACTCGGTAAATCGATTGATCGATCTGGCGCCCGCATACACCGACCTGCGCAGGCATCTTCGAACCGACGTCACTGGTGGTTGATTGGCCCCTGCCTCCTATAACTATTGCTTGTTTTTTTCGCTGACGCTTTTATACCTGACGATGGACTCCAGTAAGATAGCGAAAGCTCAGACGAATAAAACCATTGTTTCGGTAACCTACAGTTCTGCGAATCCTGCAAGCAAATTTCAGGTCAAAATTTAACTGGGTAGTGTAGCGTATATCTGGGCAGGTTATTTTTTGATAAACTGAGTGGATTTAATAATAAGAAGGGCTTTGGTTTGGAAAACTGCCTTCTTATTTAAAGTTATTGCGGGGAAATAGGCTCTCATTTTAGCTAATTCATGAGTACGTTATATAAAAGAAATTCCGTATGCTATAAGGAAAGACAGAACGAAACCTTTCTTCTAATATACATTGTGCTGTGGAAGAATTCCATAATTAGTAAACAAAGTTTCTACATATAACTGCGCAGACAGCCAATAGAAAGCCATATTGAATGTAAGTCATGTAGAATTATGGTCAATGAGGTTCCGCTCAACCGTTATTTAGAAACGGAACAGACAGAAGAATAATAAGTAATTCAAAAAATGGTCATGTACGTGGCCTGCTTTTTTTGCATTCGGACGTTTATTACGGATCTTGTAATAAATCTCCTTAAGC